TCTCCCACTCCACTGGCCTCCCCTTCCCTTGGCCAGGCACCTTAACTAGGGTTCTGCCGAGACCCTTTTCGCCCAAAAGTCTGGTGGCTCTTGTGAGGCAAGGTAATAAAGGTCTTTATTTCTAAACTGCTTGGTTTATAGAGGCTTCTGTTTTTTCTTTGGGGTGCGGTCCTTCCTGGGCAGAAAAGCGCTGCCCACTGTAGTGCACGACCCTGGTAACACATAGAATAGATAACTGCAACACAGCCTACGTCGTGGGGCTGCCCTTGAAAAGTGTTTTGAAGCTTCAGTTGGTACCGGACGGTGCCGTCGGGATGCTGACTGGAGTGGGTGGCAGGGAAGACGGCGCTCCAATGCCGGTCCGTCTACACTGGCTCCCAAACAGGCTGTTTCTGAGCCCGATTATGGAACTTCCTCCCCGAGGATATTCATCTGTTCCCCTCTATTACCATTTCCCCCCACTGGGTGAAGACTGCTGCGTTTTGGCTGGGGATACAGTGTTCCCTCTAAGGTGAGTTAGGGTGAGCTAACTCACAGTTTTTTAGCCTCTGGCTCACACAATTTTGTCTTAGTTCAGGATGGATGGCTCCAGAGCAAACTAATTTATGCAGTAGCCAAATCACTCACTCACAACTTTAATACCAGTAGCTCACAAAGTAGAATTTTTGCTCACAAGACTCCACAGCTTAGAGGGAACATTGCTGGGGGACCAGTGTTCCCTCTAAGCTGAGTTAGTGTGAGCTAGCTCACAGGTTTTTAGCCTCCGGCTCACACATTTTTGCCTTAGCTCAGGAAGGATGGCTCCAGAGCAGGCTAATTTATGCAGTAGCCAAATGGCTCGCTCACAACTTTCATGCTAGTTGAGCTCACAAAGTAGAATTTTTGCTCACAAGACTCCACAGCTTAGAGGGAGCATTGCTGGGGACTCCTCCTCCTTCCTGCCTTGTGTTTTCCACCTGCTGTCTTTTACACACATACTTCTAGCTCTGGTTTAGCGGTGTCATCTTATCATGCTTGTTTTAATCGCTAGCCGCCTTGGTGGCCCTAACCGGGATATAAATGTTGTGAATAAGTCAGGGTAAACCAACAACGTTCAACAGTCTTCCGCTCAAGATCTTTGGTGCTGTCAGGGAGACCAGCATGAGAAGCAGGAGCAGGAACACCTGCCCTCTCTGTGACCGAGTGACACAGACTCCAGAACCATCGGACAAGGCAGACCACGTGCCAGGGTTTCAGATTCTGCCCTTTTCTCAGTGGAAAATCCACCACCAGTAAAGCTTCTAAAAGGCAGCGCTGGACATGTGCGCACACGCCAAGCCACCCCTTGCGTTGGCCTGGTATTTTGACTCTGGGCCCCAGGAGAGGCCTCCAAGCCATGGACCTGCTCCTCCTCCTCCTCCTCCAGAGGGGCTGCAGCCACCTTCAGGACAGGCCGCCCGTGTCCCCCGCCTGGGTCAGCTGCCACGTTACACAGGCCGACCAGGGCTGTGACAGGAACAACCATCAAGCAACAATTTCACACAAGGCAATTTACATCTGGGTCTACCTTATATAATAATGTATCTTACCTTCATACGATAATTTGTTTGCACTGATTTATTGAATGGATCGTTCCTTTTGTATTACTTATTTTTGACCTATGCAGCTGCACACGTTAGGAGTTGTATTGTTTGAAAAACTAATAAAAATTATTATTAGTGTGTGTGGGTGTGGGGGGGGAATCCCTAAGAGACTTCAGGAACCCCCGGATGCATAAGCCACCTGAGGCCGTCTTGCCCTAACCAGCCGCCCTCCCTGGCAGGGGTGCACACTGTCTGAGACCCTAAGCCTCACCAGGCCACAGCCAGTTCAGGACAAGGGCAGAGTGCAAAACTCCCCCTTTACCGGGTGACATAGTTTGTCCCCAGGAGAACCTGACTCCAGCATGTGCATCTGTACAGGTAAGAGCCAGAATGTCCCGGGGAAGAGCAATGGGCCGAATCCTCCCTGAAGCCCCAAGCCCTGAAGCGCAAAGGCGGAGGTCCCTCCAGGGCAGCCCCACTCAGGGGTCTCAGCGCCCAGTCCGAGACTGCCTCCATCAGCTCAGGGAGGAGGAGGAAATTGGATTTATGCCCCTGGCCTTTGCTCGGAGTCTCAGAGCGGCTTACAAACTCCTTTCCCCTCCCCTCCTCACAACAGACACCCTGTGAGGTGGGTGGGGCAGAGAGAACGCTTTTCCAGAACTGCTCTTTTTCAAGGACAGCTCTTGTCAGAACTACGGCTTGCCCAAGGTCACCCAGCAGGTGCAAGTGTAGGAGGAGTGGGGAATCAAACCCGGCTCTCCCAGATTAGAGTCCTCTGCGCACTTAACTGCTACACCAAACTGGAGGCTGTCAGGGTTGTATGCCAAACAGAACATTCCTGTGCCGTCCCAAGCCACCAGCATCAAAGACACATTCACAGCTGGGACTCCGGGTTACAACCCCCCCCCCCGGGCAAGTCCCTCTGAAGAACCAACCGATCACGGCCACGTCCCCTCCCTGCCCACGGGGGCCCAGGAAGCCGTGATCGATTACCAAGGAATTAGCATCGTTTACCTGCACAGCTCTTGACAGACATGGGGTAGTTTGGTCGGGGGGAAGCGGGATCTGAAAGACGCCCATTCCCTTTGGCAGGATGGTCCTCCCGAACGGGTTGGCAGAGCCCCCTCGACGGCTGCTCCACTCCTGAGCTATTGAGCATATCGTCCAGCTCATCGATATCAATGTCGATATCAAAATCCGGGTCTGGTGTTGCCAAGCGCCTCTTGCCTCCCGGTTGGCTCTTAGCCCCGCTGGGCTCGCTTCGGTCCCTTAAAGCTGCCAGGTTCAACTTGGCACGCAGACCGCGCTCGTTTCTGTCACCCCTGAGCGACGATCCTTCACGGATGCCCGGCGTGGATAAAGAAATTCCTGCATTCCCTGAGATATCACTGCCAAGGGTGGAACTCTCTGACAATGTGAATACCTCAGCCTCATCTGGGTTCTGCGTCCGGGCAGCAAAGGGGGTCGAATGATATTTGTGTGGTTGCGCAGCAGCAGGCAGTGATTCGGAGAAAAGTCCACCGCCAAAGACAGAGCTTCTCCGGGGGCCGGTCGCAAAAGTGCTCTTCAGCTGAAGAGCGGCTTCGCTGTACAGAGAGTTCTCGTCCCCAAGAGATGCTTGGCGGTTTACGGCAGGAGAGGTGTTGCCGTCCTTTCCACTTGCTTCAGTATAACTTAATAGCTTTCTTCTGCAAAGAAGGAACATGCTGTTAACACACCACCACCCATTCCTTCCATTATCTGGGTTAGGGTTGGCCTGAAGCAACAGAACAAAGTTAGAGTCCAGTGGGGCACCTTTAAGACCAACAAAGGTTTATTCAAGGTGTGAGCTTTCGTGTGCAAGGGCTACGGTGAGTCAGAAGAGAGCAAATCAGACACAGTCAGCTGAACCCCACTGGAAAGGAGAAGCGGAATGTCCTTCAGGGCCTCAGCCTTCCCAATTAGCAGTACGGCTGTCTTGTCAGGATGCCGTTTCACTTGAGCCTCTCTCTCTGACTGCTGTAGTTAAATTTATTTATTCATGTATTTGTTTATTTATTGGACTTATACTGTGCCCTCCCCGCCAAGGCAGGCTCAGGGTGGCTTACATAAAATTTTTCAAAAATTTAAAAACACGTAAAATCTAAAGTGCTATATGTAAATACATTCCTGTGCGACGGCAATCATAATCCAATGTTTTGATAACAGGAATCAGTTAGTACAGACATGGTTAATGAAAAAGATCCCAGGGAGGCTCTGAGTTATATAAAGATGTTAAATGTGGTCAGATGCCCGGTGGAAGAGCTCCGTCTTGCAGGCCCTGTGGAATTGAAGGAGCTCGTTCCACCAGCGTGGAGCTGCCACAGAGAAGGCCCTAGCCCTGGTGATGGCCAGTCTGGCTAAAAGACCTCCACCACATTGCCTGATATCTAGATGGAGGTATGCAAAGTTGGGTGTTGTCAACACAGATGACAACCTACTCCAAACCATGAATAATTTCTCCTAAGGGGTTTGTGCAGAGATTGAATAGCGTGGGGGATAGAACTGCACCCCGAGGGCCTGGTCTCCAACGGCTACCCTTTGAGTCTGTTCCACCAGAAACAATTTAGGCCACTCCAGAGCACAATCCAATCCATTTGCACTCCTTCTGGATGGCAGATCCTGCCTCATCAGTGAGTTGCAAGCTTTTGCACACAGTCCAGACCGCGTCTCACTCAGGCCCTGCCGAAGGTGTTGTCCAACCCCTGCTTCCCAAACATTGCTGTTTTTCATTTTGATAAAAATGATATGGTAAATCTATTCCATTTCACTTAGAACAAAGTCTGAGTCCAAGACCAACAACATTTAATTCTGAGTATGAGCTTTTGTGTGCATGCAGACTTCATCAAATACCATTTCCACTTAGGCAGCCATTCAACCTACTTAATTAAGCAAAAACACTGTAAGGGCACAAAATATCCAAGGCCTCAATTCCAGTAAGTGCATTTAAGTGAGGGATGTGCAGGGCTAAGTACTGGAACAGAGAGACAAAGATGATGGTCTGGAGGCACCCAAAATGAGGGCAGAGGGTTGCAGGTTCAGGAAGGGGGGGGGGGAAGCAGTTAACTAAGGGACCGCCTTTCCCCGCATGTTCCCCCAAGGGCACTACGGTCGGGGAGTCAAAATCTCCTGGAAATTCCAGGCTCCAGGAACATCAAGTTTGCTGTCACCAGGGCCAGGGCGTTTTCGGTGGCGGCTCCTACCTGGTGGAATGAGCTCCCAGAAGAGATCCGGGCCCTGCGGGACCTTGGGCAGTTCCGCAGGGCTTGTAAAACGGAGCTCTTCCGCCAGGCTTTTGAATAGGAGCTGCCGCCGCCACTATTCCATCACCGCTTCCTCCATCACCACACTTTTACCACCGCTTGAGCGGGTATCATTGGGGATGTGAGATGTTCCTGGTGGATGACAGTGCTGCTGGGACGTATATTGTTGTCCTGGTATAAATAACTCCAGAACCCCATCTTGGAATTCATGATTTAAGTGACTTTTGGAGCACCAATATTTTATTGAACTGTATTATACGGTATTGTTTTATACTGTTTTTATTGTTTTAACCATGCCTCTTTGTAAGCCACCCTGAGCCTTTGGGGAGGGCGGGATATAAATCCAAAAATAAATAAATAAATGATTGCTAGACATTTGTTTGTGCAGCTCTAACAACCTGCTTCATCTTTACCCAGGTTTTATTCAAGGATACAAACGTGTAGTTTCATTTCAGTACAAGCAAAGCAGGTTCCAAGCCTTGTGCATGTTATTACTTTGAGATGTTCACACCGCTTCGGAGCCTGACACACTGGCAGTCTGCTTATACCACAGAAAGTGCCCATTTGTGCACGAACGCGTTCCTGAATGACGGAAGCCTCCAAACCTGTGGTCTCTCTTCTGAAGCAGCTCCTTCCCACAAGACAAAGACCTCAGCTCCCTTTCCGAGATGGAATCCACCAGGTCACAGATTCCCTTCATCACTCTGTACAGAAGGGTCTCACGTGGCGAGGACTTATCTGAAACGTGGAAAAGTTATACCGTGTTAGTCGCAAGCAAGCCCCTCCCTGAAGGTGGCGCTCAAACCCCCAACACATTATTGAGCAGAACTTGACCTGGAGCACTAACACCACTGCTCTGGTGAAGAAGGCCCAGCAGAGGCTCTTTTTTCTCAGACTTTTAAAGAAAAATAACTTGAGTGAGAAAATACTGATGTCTTTCTATCGTTGCTCAATAGAGAGCATTTTAACATACTGCATCTGTGCCTGGTTTGCCAGTTGTACGGCTGTGGATAGGAAAGCACTCCAGAGAGTTATCATCACAGCCCAGAAGATTATTGGCTGTCCTCTCCCATTCATGGAGGAATTGTATAGTTCTTGATGCTTGAAAAAAGCAAAGAACATTTTGGAGGATTTGTCACACCCTGAACACTCCCTGTTTGAACTGCTGCCTTCGGGTAGAAGATATAGGACAATTAAAACAAGGACAAACACATTAAAAAACAGTTTTTATTCGAGAGCTATTATTACTTTAAATGCTGTATGGATTGGAATTTGGGTGACATTGGTGGTTTAAGTTGCAATGTGAACCTTAAGGGAGTTATGGGATGGTTGTGAATGGTTGTGTGAGTGTATATGAGTATGGTTGTAGATCACTGAATGATTGCATCTTAATTTCGTTGTACTATGTACAATGACAATAAAGTATATTGTTATTATTATTATTATCAATGAACTTCGGTAGGACTCAAGGGCATCTGTGATTGATGCTGCTACCATGACTGCTCAGTCTCAGTTTTGTTGGTGTCCAGTTGTTACCCCTTTGATCCATATCCAGCCTACAAACCCAGAACAACTATTATAATTACTATATTGTTGTATTGTCTTACTTTTTATAATGACTGTGGCCATGTTTGCTACCCTGAGCCTGCCCTGGCGGGGGAGGGTGAGATATAAATCTTATAAATAAATAAATAATAAACATCTGGCAGCCTCTCCCCCCCCCCCCCGTTAAGAGTTGTTTGCAGGGAATCCCACAAATCTTATGCAAAGAGTACCTGCAGATCTATACTGGTGAAGAGGCAGGGACAAGTGTTCCCTCTAAGCTGAGTTGGTGTGAGCTAGCTCATTTTTTCAGCCTCCGGCTCACATTTTTGCCTTCGCTCTGGAAGGATGGCTCCAGGGCAAAGTAATGTATGCAGTAGCCAAATCGCTCGCTCACAACTTTAACACCAGTAGCTCACAAAGTAGAATTTTTGCTCACAGGACTCCACAGCTTAGAGGGAGCCCTGGCAGGGACAGGTAGCTCTACATGACTGGACTCCAGCCATGAAGGACAAAGGCCAGCTGATGAACATGGAAAAGGCATCATCTAGTTCCACGGACAAAGCCAAAGATTCACCCTGGGAGCTACACAGCTCTTACACCTTGTCTACTCCGATTCAGCCAAACTGCATTCAGGCACACTATTCGGCTGCCTTGCTGCGATGATGCCTGACCAAAGGACCACTGGCCTCAATGGCATGAGCCCCCAGTATAGCCGTTTTCTCACTCCAGGACACCCCATTTCAGTAGTTTCATGTTTAAAGGCTTGTACCCAGCTCTCGGTGAATCCCCAGAGACAGCACTCCCTCTTGCTCCTCTAAACCTTTCTTTCCCTCCCTCCTACATATAAGCACCTCTTAGGACACAGAAACTCCTTGTTTGCTACACTGAAAAAGAATGGTAAGAATGCTACGTCAGAGGCGCACAGCTGCCCAGAGAAACCACGATGCTGGAGTACGCCCTGAGATATAGCCAACTACAAGGCTCTGAGCCATTATGCATCAGAAGAACAAAAGCAACTCTGTATTCCTCAGCAGAAAAGAACCCAGCGCCACAGTGGAAGGTGGCTTTACCTTCCTGCCCTTCATTGAAGCAACAGCTGGCAAAACCAGAGTCTGGCGAGCGGCTTTTCACGTCTCCAGCTGCCCTCTCAAAGGAAGAATCTCTGAAAAGGTGACATGAATATTAAGTCATTAAAAACTCCAGAAAAGTACACCGTACAGGGAAAAAAACCTTCCATTTCAAAACCCGTGCAGAGGTTCAGATTCCTGTTATACAGCTGTAAAAGAGGAAAAAACATGAACTGCTGCCCAATATTCACATTCTGAACCCAACACTATTGTCTGCATGTCCCAGAAAACACATTTCCTATTAACTTTTTTCTCCGACCTGCTTTTTTGGGCCGTTCACCGACAAACTGCTGGCTGACTGCTGCTGTGAACTGGCCAAAAGTGAACAGATTGAAACTAAAGCTACTTGGGTAATCTTTTAGGGACTACGGTCTTTTCTGTGTATAGCTCGTATTGCCTGTTGCTGATCCTACAATCCCACCTTGTAAATATGATCCTAGTATGTAATTTCTGCATCATTTAACACATCATGTTAATACTGCTTGCTTCAGCTCCCCCCACCCCACCCCCCGGATTTCTGGTTGGTTCCAGATTTCTACGGTACAAATCCTATTGCACTGTTTATCGGATATCCCTTTCTGTTAACTGTAGTTACTTCCTCCGTGTAATCCACCCTCAAGTCGTAGCGAGGAAGGTAGACTTTAAATATAGTAAGTAAATAAATAACACTCCAAATCCATGGGACGACTAGCTGACACGATTTCTTTGCTTAAACTTTTGCGTGTGCTGCAAGAGAGAAGTTTATTGGCAGTGGCATACCGAATGCTTTTAAAAACAGATGAGGAAGGAGGCATTTCCTTCTCTGGGGAGGGAGGTACAAAGTCTTCGTAGTTGTCTTCGTCCACAAGATCAATGCACACCACGTCATCATCACTCAGCTCTTCACCTGGTTCCTCACTTGCATTGCAGCCAAAACCATTCCGAGCTTTAACACAATCAACATAGACAGCAAAAAAAACTTCATTAGCTTAATATCACTGAACTGTTTTTAGATGATTTAATGTGGATTTTAATTGTTCTTCATGCATCAAACGGCGTAAGCCACCCTGAGCCTGCTCTTGCAGGGAGGGCGGGGTATAAATTTAATAAATTGAATTAAAAAAATTATATAGTCAATCTTCAGAACGGTCTTAAAATAAAGTCACAGAAATGGCTTGAAGTATTAATTTAGAAAATAGTCACACTGACCCCCACGAAACCCAGAACAAAACACAAATGGCATGTTATAGCTTTTATTAGAACCCACCATGACATAAACCACCACACAGGCTTTTGAGCTCACAAGAACTCGTCATCAGACCAGATTTTTAAAAAATAATAAAATAAAATAGGTCAAGACTTTAAAAGTCTTGTTAGAATAGAAACGACCAAATGCTTCCTTCTGCTCTCCGCCTACAAAAAGAGCTGTGTTCTGCATTTGTGGCAGAGTATGAGTTTTCGTGAGTCACTGCTCAGTTCTTCAGGTATCTGAAGAAATGAGCCAGTGACTCATGAAAACTCCTCCCCTGCCCCAAATTTTGTTAGTCTTTTAAGGTGCAACCGGACTCTTGCTCTCTTCTCCTGCTACAGACAGACTAACTGGGCCACCTGTCTTGATCTGTGTTCTGCATGTGAGTTTCTGACTGAAATTCGGACTTGCCGGCCTCTAGTTTTTACAAAGGGGATGTCTGCATCATTGACTGCTCTCCTCCCAGGCTCAAGCACCCACAGCCATGAAACCTGCCTTTCCCCCCTGTAAACTGCAAACCTGCTCCTTCGGAGGGAGTGCAGCCCTCTCCAGGAAAGGCTGAGACTCCGCGGTCCCTGAGCAGTTTGGCCACTGACTGACAGCCCCCCTTGTCTGGGCTTGACTGAGCTTCAGTTGCCCGCCCCCCACCCACCCCCACTGCCTTCTCCAGAACTTCCCCAGACCCCCCCCCCATTTGCAGCATCTCCCTCATCGTCCCGGGACCTCCCTCCAGGACAGTCCAGATCTGCAGTGGGGGACCAGCAGAACTTGCTGGGACCTCCCCGGCGGTGCCTGCCCTCCCCTGGCCGGAGGGGCTCTGAAAACAGGGGGAGGAGAAAAAGGAGGCCTCGGTGTGGTCAGCCCCGGCCAGCTCCTCGGGGGAAGAACAGGAGGCAAATGGAAGGGGTACAACTGAGCAATGCTCCCTCTAAGCGGTGGAGTCGTGAGCAAAAATTCTAACTGGTGAGCTCCTGGCCTCAAAGTTGTGAGCAAACGATTTGGCTCCTGCATAAATTAGTTTGCTCCGGAGCCATCCTGCCTCAGCTGAGACAAACAATCTGTGAGCTGGTCTTCCCTGCAAGTCCCACAACAACGCAGAAGTAATGCTTTGCCTTCCGCCATTTTATAGGGCAGGTTTAACAAGATATCTCACTCAGCCAGATACTGCCTCTGCAAAAAAAAAAAAATGCTGAGACAATTGCTCATGTCCTTCTGCATTGCCACCTGTATGTGGATCTAACATTCTACTTTAAGCAGCATGATGGACTGCCCTGATGCGCTTAAGGTACACCGACTTTTAAATGACTTCTGTTCTGACATCATTAAGAAAGAATAAGAGATTGGATTTATACCCCTTGCCCTTCACTACCCAAAGGTGTCTCAGAGCGGCTTACAAACTCCTTTCCCTCCCCCTCCCCACAACAGACATCTGGTGAGGTAGGTGGGGCTGAGGGAGCTCTGACAGAAACTGCCCTTTTTCAAGAACAGCTCTGACATAACTATGGCTTGCCCAAGGTCATCCAGCAGGTGGGAGTGGAGGAGTGGGGAATCAAACCCGGTTCTCCCAGGTTAGAGTCCGTGCACTTAACCACTGCACCAAACCAAGGGGTCGCTCAGCTTTAAAGCTGTGCCAAAGGATCCCAGAGACATAGTATTTTCATGGGTGTATTTTAATCTGCTCCTGGGTGTGTTTTAATCTGTTTCATGGGTGTGTTTTCAATCTGCTCCTAAATTGTACAATCGGGACACACGGTCTTTTTACAGGCGTGTTTTCGATCTGCTCTTAATTGGTATGATCTTTATCAACAATGCATGTCAACAAAGGCTAACCTGAACTTGACCTGTCAGCTGGAGGATAAAAAACTGCGAGCCAGCTCACGCAGCTTAGAGGGAACACCGCAAGTGGGGCTCCTTCCCTCCCAGTTCGTTGCAGTGGTTTAAGTGCGCGGATTCTAATCTGGGAGGACCGGGTTTGGTTCCACACTCCTCCTCCACATGCAGCCAGCTAGGTGACCTTGGGTCAGTCACAAGTTCTCTCAGGACTGTTCTCTCCAGGGCAGTTTCTGTCAAAAGCTCTCTCAGCCCCGCCTACCTCACAGGGTGTCTGTTGTGGGGAGGGGAAGGGAAAGGAGTCTGTGAGCCGCTCTGAGGCTCCTTTGCGTAGTGAAGGGCCATGGGGTATGAATCCAATCTCCTCCTCCTCTTCTTCTTCCCACCCACCCGCCCCCCCAGCA